CCCCCCCCCCCCCCCCCCAATCTGACCATTTCTGCCCGCCTCCAACATTACCACAGCCTCTGCCGGAACACACCGCTACACTGAAGTTGAGGAGGAAATAACAGAACTCACAGGTAAGCCCAGGATCTGAATTTAGACCCTCTTCAAAATCATTCCTACTTCCCGCTTCATCTGTCCCCACCCCAGGGGAGAAAAAGGCCAGCCAGAGCTCTAGGTCTTCCCTGTCTTGTGCAGCTCGAGGGACAAATTAACTGTTCACCAACTAAACGTTTTAGCTGCACTTTTTAGTGTGTTATTTGTGTTCACTTCAAAAGCCCCAGCATGAAATCCACTGGTGCCGTTAAGGTGAAATGCCTTTTTGCTCCTTCAGCCCCTCGGTGGGTTAGCCCAATCTTTGCCACCTTGGGGCACTTCCTCCGATGCACACAGTCACGGAGAGTCGGCTAGCGGGTGGGCTTGCAGACTTGTTTTTCGAATTCACCCTTCACTGAACCGAATTCACGGCTTCAGTGCCGTCTGGCTAGGCCACTGTCATTTCAGTCTGCAGCAGTCAAAAACTCAGCTGCCCCGGCTACATCCCCAGTTCTACCTGCCGTGGGCTTTCCCCCTCCACCCAAGGCCAACACCGGTCATGACAATGCGGGGAATCAAAAGAGCTCGGTCGCTTCCCCGCTGTCACTGGGCAGGCCCCCAGCCTCTGAGAATCCCCCCAGATCTTCCTCCACTGGCTGGGGGACACACAGGCTGCTCACGCCCCGGGGCTCACACTCAGATACCCACAGCACAGAAGCGCACCCACGGGGGGAGGGCAGGTGCCCTCTACAGATGGCCCCGGAGTCTCTCCAGGGTAAAACTATCCTGACCTCACAAGGCCACCACGGGACATAAATGGGGTCACACCTATCCTCACACCCCTGTATAGCGTCCGCCTTTGACATTCCCCCCTGGGTCAGATCACGCGCCAGGTCGGGTGTCAGCCCCAGGGCGCTCCGCGGACCCGAGCTCCAAGCCTGGGCTCCCGACCTCGGCGGCCTGGCCTACCTGCCTTTCGGAGCAGGCCGATCTGCGAGCCGTTGAGAGCCATGTAGTCGCAGTCGGTGATGACCCGGACGCGCACCCCGCGCTGGTGCAGTAGCTGCACCGCACGGCCCAGCTGCGGGCTGGAGAAGGCAAAGAGGCAGAGCTCGAGGCTGGCGCGGGCGGCCAACAGGGCGCGCAGCAGGCGGCTGAGCGAGCTCTCGCCGTGGGGGAGGCTGCACAGGCAGCCCGCTGGGGGCCCCGACGGCCCCTCACCCGGGGCCTGCAGCAGGGCCTCGGTGCAGGTCACCTGCGACGGGAAGAAGAGCACCTCGCGCCGCGGCGGCCTCCGCCGCTGTTGCCGGCGCCCGGCCCGCAGCCAGTGCAGCACGGAGGGCAGCGCCTCCAGGGCCAGCGCGAGACCCAAGGTCGCCACGGCCGCCACCTGCCACCGTAACCGCTCCATGCCGCCTCAGCCCCGCCGACTACCCGCGGCCTTGCAGCCCACCGCGCCGCCGCTCCCGCGGCCACGTACACCTGCCGCCCCCCACCAACCGCTGCCCAACGCGCCTGCGCCCCGGCCGGCCACGTGCGTGCGACCCCCTCCAACCCCCCCCCCCCACACACCCCACTCCCCCCGCATGCGCGCCCCGAGCCCTCTACAGGCGCCCCCCCCGCCCACCACTCCTGCGCACCCGCCAGCCACGTGCACCCGCCCTTCCCCCACCACCCTCCACATACACCGCCCATCGCGCCTGCGCGTGCCTCAGGGGTGCTCACCGCCGCTCTGGGCGGACGCGCCCCACGACCAGCGCCGCACTGCGTCTGCGTGCCCGCTGGCCACGTGCACCCCGCCACCGCCGCGATGGCGCCCGCCAGCCGCGCGGCCCGCGACGGCCCAGGCGCTCCTCCCTTGGAGGGGTGGGAGAGCGGTGCTGACCATCTCACACCTTCCCTTTTGCTTTGGGTACGGCCAGGCAGGGCCGGAGAAAGGCCTGGAAACACACTGAGAATGTCAAATAAGGAACACGTAGCCGGTGGCAGGGTTTGAACCCACAGTGTCAGAGACCGCGGTGTGACGGGGACAGCCCCAAGTCCAGCATTAGGCCCCTTGTATTTCGACCACCTCTCCCAGTATCAACTTGTTACTTGAAGATGCCTATTCTGCTTCAGGCGTAAACATAGTGAAAACTGGGACGTCCTTGGTCCTGCCTTAGCAAGCACCAGACCCTCTTGTGTCTCACTTGGGAGGGGCTCTTCCTTTTCACGGGGAGAGAAAAGGAGAAGAGAGCGTAAGATTTTTTTTTTTCCTATTTTTTTCTTTCCTGAATCTTGGTCAGGAATTTCCATGGTTCGTTTGAAGACTCTCTGTGGTCTTTGAAAGGAAAGGATAACTCCTCCACCGTCTCCTCCTTGTAACCGGTCTCCAGGACTTCCCTGTTACATACAGACCCCCACGTACGGGGGGCAAAGAAGGAGCTGATCGGAGTACCCTTGGAAAATCATGTTTCGACTGGGAACTAGAAAGCTAAGCACAAGAGGAACTGCACATAAACACTGTACTCTCGTTGGTACACTTCTTTCCCGAGCGGGGAGCTGCCTACATGCCCCCGGGGGTTGAACGGATCAGTAAATCCTTGGCGGATATTAGGAACTGGGGTTCTCGCTGCTGGATGGCGTAAGAGGTAAGATGCCTGTGGTTCTGTACCGCAGTGAAGTCATATTTAGCTGAGGATGTATATTACTATACATCATACGTCAGTTTTGACATACGTATATCCCATACCTCAGTCCCCTGAGAGGCCCGGAAGCAGTGAGCATCCCTAGCTCCCAGATCTTAGTTTCTAAACACCATTCTCCAATAAAAGGAACCAAGACTCCTTGCAGAAATGGCTGATTCTAGGGTTGGGCAGGGAAATCGTAAGACGTGTTTCAGGCATCTTGCGTTACCAGACAGTAAGGATGTGGACATGGCAGCATGACCGAAGGTCACAGGGGTAAACCTAAAAGAACCCTCAGTGGCCAGACCTGGAGCAGTTTGAGAAACAAAGTAAATAATGCAGTATTGGATTATAACCCAAGCACAAGATAAATATACGTGACTCCATACTGATATGAAGAAATGACCGAATAAAGAAACAAGAGAGAAGATACAAGTCTTTTCTACAGAAGAATTCCAAATACTGTATGTACACATTCCCTGCCACGGGAGGGAGAACTAAATCTCCCTGCCCCTTTGAAGGTGGGCTAGACTTAGTGACTACAGTAGGGAAAGGAGAAAAATGAAGTTTACATGGAGAAACTGGTAAACACCACCTTAACCAAGTGATGGTTAACATCACCAGAGATGTGTGAATGTTACGTACCCCTGATAAGATATTTTTAAAGGATTTATTTATTTTATTTTTTTAAGGGAGAGAGAGATCAGGGGGAAGGGCAGAGGGAGAGGAGACTCTCAAGCAGACTCCCTGCTGAGTGCGGAGCCTGATGCGGGGCTTGATCTCATGCCCCCAGCATCACGACCTGAGCTGACATCAAGAGTCAATCGCTCACCCGACTGAGCCACCCAGGCACCCCCTTCCGATATGATTGATGAGAAGGACACATCACCTCTGTGGTGGTCTTTCCCGAAGCTCATAAACCCAGTTCAATCATGAGGAAGAAACATCAGAAATCCAGATTTAAGGACATGCAATCACATTCCACAGGATATCTGGCAAAGGACATGAAAAAAGGCAACAACTTAGAAACTGTAACAGACCAGCAGAGTCCGGATCCTGAAACAGAAAGTTAAGGTTACTGGGAAAAGTGGTGAAATCCAAATAAAGTCTAGAGTTCAATTAATAGTAATACACCATCGTCTGTTTCTTCACTTTGACAAGTGCATGACAGCCATGTAAGACTAACTGAGGGAAACTGGATGAGGAGTAGACGGGGACTCTCTGTGCTACCTTTGAAACTTTTCAGTAAATCTAAAATTATTCCAAATTAAAAGTTTATTAAAAATATCACACTTACACCTGCCATCTGATCCAGCTATCTGACTCTTAAATATCACCCAAGAGACATGAAAGCATATGTCTATGCATCTTACACAAAGACTTGCACACAGATATTCCCAGCAGGTTTATGAGTATAACCCAAACCTAGACACCACACCAATGTCCGTCACCAGATAAGTAACCAAACCTTCACCCATCTATACAATGGAATACTATTTAGCAGTAAAAAGAAATAAATTACTGATATAAACTACCACATGGATGAATTTCAGTGAGGCTGAGTGAAAAAAGACAAAACAAAGTAGGTACTGTGTGGTTCCACTGACATGCAATTCTAGGAAATGCCAATAGAGTGAAAGTAAGTAAATCAGCAGTTGCCTAGAGACAGTGGGAAGGGAAGAGGGATTACAAAGAAACATTAACAGTGATATGTTCATTATCTTGGTGGTGATGTGCATCTGCATGTCAAAACTTGTCAAATTGGATGGTTTCAATGAGTAGAAATTATTTTATGTCAATTATACTTCAATAAAGCTGTTTTTTGTTTTAATAGAGCCCCTGAGTTTAATTCTGGCTCCCCTACTACCAAGGGCAAATTGCTTTGTCTCTTTGGGCCTCACTTTCTTCATGTGGAATGATGACAAAAATGAGAGGAGGGACTTCCAGTTATGGCAGCATAAAGAGGTTGTCAATTCCTCTGTGCAAAACAAAAACAAAAACAACAACCAAAAAAAGCTCCCCACTACACACACACACACACACACACACACACGACCGCTTCAGGGCACTAGAAATCCACCAAAGGCAGACAACCAAATGAGAAGCATCCTTTTTTACAACCTGCTGCAGGTTAGTATAGGAGCAGCAGGACTCTGTGGCCTTGTTGACAGGCTGCTCGCATCCCTTCACCCTCCCAGTCTGGCTGGCAAAAACGGTAGTCTTATCAATGTGGGGCTGGCTCCAAAAACCTTTGAGGTCTTTAGTTTTGCTAGCTAAAAGTGGTGGCTCAGTTGGGAAGGAATGAGGGAAACCTGTAGCCTTACCAGCCCGACCTTCCAGTCCAAGGTGGGATAAGCAGCAGACCAGGCAGAAATGTGACAGCAAGATCCAGAAAGTGAGAAAACCACAGAAAAGCTGACCTACACGCTCCACCCCTCCCTGGCTAACTGGGGAGCTGTGCAGGAATGGGAGAGGCCAAGGAAAAGTGAAAGCCAATGGAGGTTTGAAAGGATTCCCAACCCACGGACAGATTGCTCAGCAGAGGATGGGAGTCTTACAGGCTTAAAGAATTTGGGTTCAACCTCTGCCTAAATCACTGGCTGACTACGACATTAGGAAGATCCAGTGGTGACCACTAGGAATGAATAAAAATAAGACTTAAAAAAAAAAAAAAAAAACAAAAACTAAGCAGGCCCAGGGCCACCCTACAGAGGGAGAGACTGTACACTTCAAGTCCAGGCAAGTTTTCAAAGAAAAACAACCTTAGAAAAATAAAATAGAATCCAGAATTGCTATACTATATTATCTAAAATGGCCAGTTTTCAACCAAACTTAATAGACATGCGAAGAAATAGGAAAAGTGTGACCAACATGCAGGGAACACAGCAGCCAATGCAAATTGACCTTGAGTGGACCCAGATGTTGGAAATAGTAGAAAAACACTTCGAAGCAAGTCTTATAAATATGTTCAAAGAATTAAAGGAAAATATAATGATAACGAATCAACAGATACTCATTAGAGAGTAGAAATTATTTTTTACAGTCTATGCAAAGTGTCAATTAGTTTCATCAATTGTAACCAACCAACGCTGGTGGGAAATGCTAATAGTGGGGAGGCTGGGGCACCTGGTTAAGCATCCAGCTCTTGATTTCAGCTCAGGTGGTGGGCTCACGGTGATGGGATCGAACCCAACATCAGGTTCCACACTGGGTGTGGAGTCTGCTTAAGATTCTCTCTCTCCCTCTCCTCTGCCCCTCCACTCAAGCACGCATGCTCTTTCTCTCTCTCTCTAAAAAAGGAGAACCCAACAGAATGCAATAGCAGAAGAAAAATAACTCATTTTAAAAATGGGCTAAAGACTTGAGTAGACACTTCTCTAAAAAGAGAGAGAGAGAGAGATAACGGGGAAGGCTGTGCATGTGTGGGGACAGAGGGTATATAGGAAATCTGTACCTTCCCCTCAGTTTGCAGCAAACCTAAAACCGTTCTTAAGAAATTAAGTCTTACGGCACCTGGGTGGCTCATTTGGTTAAGTGTCTGCCTTCGGCTCAGGTCCTGATCCCGGGGTCCTGGAATCGAGCCCCACATCAGACTCCAGGCTCAGCAGGGAGTCTGCCTGTCCCTCTCTCTCTTCCCCCTTCCCCACTTGTGCTCTCTCTCTCTCTCTCTTAAATCAATACATAAAATCCTAAAAAAATAAAGAAATTACATCTTTTACACCGTGCACAAAAAAAAACTCAAAAT